TTTTTGTATTTGTGTAAGAAAATATCAATAGGAATATCATATCATAGAAAGGCACAGTCATATTGTATATTCTGTATTTTACAGACTATTTATCTTGAAGTAATATATTAGAAGTATTCTTGAGACTGAGGGAAAAAAACGTGTGTTTTGCTATTTGAGGCCTAACACTCAGCGAAAATAATTTATTAGGTCACTAAATATGAAAAGTCTGATTTCAAATCAAAAGTTTATTTTATTATATCTCAAACAAGAAGCAGTACAATTAATCAAAGTAGATGCCTAAACTATCAACATAGTTTTGCCATCTTAACAGTAGCTTCTCTATGCCAGCAGTGAAGAAAACTGGAGAGCCAGCAGTGATGAAATTGCAAAAGGCATTTTCCACAGCTTGTTGAGAATTGAATATTTTTCCTTGCAAGAAGTAGTTCAAAGCCTGGAAGAAGAGGTAGTCAGTTGTTGCAAGGTCTGGTGAATATGGTGGATGACAGAGAGTTTCCAAGTCCACACTCTGTAGTTTGAGCACTGTTGTTTGTGCAACATGTGGTCAAGTATTGTGTTGCAAGAGGATTGGCCTGTCTCTATTGACCAATCTGGGCTGCTTAATCACAAGCATTCTCATCAGTTTGTCCAGTTGGTTGCAGTAGACATGTGTTGTAATCGACTGACCAGATTTCATGAATCTGTAGTGGATAATAACAGCACTGAACCACCAGACACCATTAGCTTTTTTTTATGAATATTCAGTTTTGGACTGTGTTTTGGCACTTCATCTTCATCCAAACATTATGCCTAACACTTGCGATTGTCAAAGAGAATCCATTTTTCATCACATGTAATAATATGGTGTAGAAATGGCTCATCTTTATGCCGTGACAGCAAAGAAAGGCAAGTTTTGAGACAATTTCTCTTCTGATGCTCATTTAATTCACATGGTACCCATCTATCCAGCTTCTTTACCTTGCCAATTTGTTTCAAATGGTCCAGTATTGTTGGAATGGCAATGTCAAACCTTGCTGCTAATTCACAAGGAGGTTAAGATGAACTAGCTTCCACTAAAGCTTTCAGCTCATCATTATCTACCTTGGTCTCTGGTTGCCCACAGGCTCATTTTCAAGATTAAAATCACCAGAATGGAACTTCTGAAACCCTCCAGGTACTGTGCATTCATTAGCCACATCCTTTGCAAACACTTCGTTGATGTTTCGAGCTGTCTGTACTGCATTGGTACCATGATGGAACTCATACTTGAAAATAACACAAATTTTTGACTTATCCATGGTTTCACAAAAATTGCTCTAAAATTTTTTTGAAAGCTAATCACAAGCCAACCCATGCGTTTCAAAGAATGAGGATGTGCCTTCACAATAAAAATAAAACAAGAAGTATCAAAGTGAAACGTCAGAGATATCAACTGTCAAACTTAAGGAAATTGGATATTCCATTCTTAATAACCTAATAGTAATGGTATAACAGAAGAAATATGAATATAGAATGAATGTCATATTTGTTCTAAAATAAATTATATGGATTGTTGGTCCTATATGATCTCCCTTTTATTCCTGGTTTACTCCCTGTAAACATGCTCAAGATTTTGACAAAACTATCTACCCTATCTCTACTGCATTGCCAAAGTAATTCTTATGTTGGAGCTGAGAAGATTTTAAGATCTTTAGTAAAGTCTTAAAAAAAGAAGGGGGGGAATA